TTTAAGACTTGTGGACTTCAACCCCCAGAATCCTTTCATCCTTTGGGAGATGGCTGGCTGGGGGAATTCTGGGAGTTGAAGTCCACAAGTCTTAAAGTGGCCAAGTTTGAAGACCTCTGATCTAAGTGGAGAGATTGCAGAGGAAGGGATGGCAAGAGAGTCAGTTATGCTGGCTGGAGAATTCTGGGAGTTGAAGTCCACAAGTCTTAAAGTGGCCAGGTTTGAAGACCTCTGATCTAAGTGGGGAGATTGCAGAGGAAGGGATGGCAAGAGAGTCAGTTATGCTGGCTGGAGAATTCTGGGAGTTGAAGTCCATAAGTCTTAAAGTGGCCAAGTTTGGACACCCCGGCCTATAAGGTTGGAAGAAATATTTATGGTAATTCTCTTTTCTATAACTTGGCAAAGAGGCTCTTTAAGTAGTGGGAATAACATTTATCCTCATCACTTCTCCTAACCCTGTAAGGTGATTCCCAGCCCCTCCATTTAACAATTCTACCGCGCTCAATCGGGACACGGGAGAGCCGGTTTAATTTTTTTAAAAAAAATATCATAGGTACCAAAAATGAAATTATACTGAGCCAGCTGTGCGTTTCTTATCTTCTTATTCAGCGTGCAGCTCTGGTCCAAATCAACATCCGCCATGAGCCCAGCTTCACAAGCCTCGTTGCAGACCTAAGCATGAAGAAATGCTGTTTTTATAGCCCTGGCAGAACAAGAGATTAAAAAAGCAACAGAACCACAGAGTTGGAAGGGACCCTGGAGGTCCTCTAGTCTCACGTAGGAAGCCCTATAGCATTTCACAAAAATGGTCGCCCAATTTCTTCGTAAAGGTTCCCCTCCCACATACGTGCTAGTCGTTCCCGACTCTAGGGGGCAGTGCTCATCTCCGTTCCAAAGCCGAAGAGCCAGCGCTGTCCGAAGACGCCTCCGTGGTCATGTGGCCGGCATGACTCAACGCCGAAGGTGCACGGAATGTTGTTCCCTTCCCACCAAAGGTGGTTTCTATTTTTCTACTTGCAGTTTTTACGTGCTTTCGAACTGCTAGGTTGGCAGAAGCTGGGATGAGTCACGGGAGCGCACTCCGTTACGCGGCACTAGGGATTCGAACCGCCAAACTGCCGACCTTTCTGATCGACAAGCTCAGCGTCTTAGCCCCTGAGCCACCGCATCCCTTAATCTCTTCTTGAACACTTTCAAATTGGAGCAGCCACAATTGAAATATCCACAGCGACGTTTTGAAGCATCAAAATGGTGCGTTTTCCCCCCTAGCAGCCCACTACCTGCCCTGCTCTTCCTTTCTACGGATCACCTCCGCTCTTACCTGCTGGGCATATCCTTCGCAGGTAGGTCCGACGGGAACCAGCATGACTTGCCGAGGGGAGAGCCAAAAAGGCCTGGATGAGAAAAGGGACGGGCCGAGGTTAACCGTTTTCAAACCTCACCCTGACAACCCGCAGGGAACCCTTTTTTTTTCCTCCTAGGATCAGCTGCCCACCATTTGCCACTGTAGTTTTCTGCCAGGATAGCCATCATCCTCTCCACAGAGCCCAGAATCGCTCGGTGGATGATTACGGGCCTCGTCTTGTCGTTCCCGTCTTTGCTGAAAAACAAAACGAACGAGAACATTTCAACTTCCGTTTCTTTTGCTGTCCTTCTAATTTGGGTTTCTGTTCTGTTCCCCCCCCCCTCCTTCGCTCGTTAACAGACGACAGGCAGACAAACTTAAAAGGAAAGAACTTTATCAGTCCTCAGCTCAGACTGG